TATTCAATGGTTGTTCTTTTATTATGATGAAAAGGGGGGACATTTTGGACGTGGGATGGTTGATTGTGGATAGATATTGTGTCTGGTTGTCAGGTGATTTTTGATGTCATATTCTTGGTTAAATTTGATGAAATTTTACTAGAATTTGATGAATCTTTCAAATTTTATAATAAATTGGGGGGGGGGGGTACACGTGGGACCAAAAGGACACCAAAGTTCAAAAATTATAAGCATCCCCGAAAAATGCGCCTAATCACCCAATCACCCGCAACAAACATGACAATCATCCCTGCCAATTTTTCCATACCGACAGAAATCTATCTTAACAGCTATGTGTGTGCCTGTTTCATGAAAATGTTTTGAAATCTTGTTAATAATCTTTTTTGATAAATTGCTGACAGGATCAGTGTCAAACTAATGACTGTAGCTGTCTCACTCAATGAATGGCAGCGGCAGTCAGTAACAACAGCAAGAAACACAATAAATCGAGATTTTATGTGTGTGCGCATATACTCAAACAGACACGACATTTAGTCATTCAACTAGCTGACATATTGTGGCTTTCAATTTTATGTGTACATAAAATACATTCAATCTTTCTATTTTCATTTCTCCTTGCTTCGTCCCAGTATTTTCATTCTAGTGTGCGCGCTGACATGTCATTTATCATCTTTTTTTGCTCCTTTTCGTTTCAATCTGCACGACTCACACCATTTGACGTTGAACTGAGCTAGAGGCATGGAAATATTAAACACAATCTTTTATACGTCTTTATAAGGAAGAAGATTCGTCCTTGTGGTGATTATTGAGTTGAAACTGGTCTGAACACTCTAAAAAAGTTTTTAATTTTCTTAAAAAAGCTCTCAGTTCTCTCAATTCCCTTAAAAAACTCTCAATTTTCTCAGAAAGCTCTCAATTCTCTCAGAAAGCTCTCAACTCTCTCAGAATGCTCTTAATTCTCTTAAAAAGCTGTTAATTCTCTCAGAAAGCTCTCAATTCTTTTAAAAATGCTCTCGGTTCTCTTAGAAAGCTCTCAATTCTCTCAGAGATCTCTCAATTCTCTCAGAAAGCTCTCAATTCTCTCAGAAAGCTCTCAATTTCCTCAGAATGATCTTAATTCTCTTAAAAAGCTCTTAATTCTCTCAGAAAGCTCTCAATTCTTTCAAAAAGGCTCTCGCTTCTCTTAGAAAGCGCTCAATTCTCACACAAACCTCTTTATTTTCTCAATTCCCTCAAAAAGCTCTCAATTCTCTCAAAAGGGCTCTCAACTCTCTAAGAAAGCTCTCAATTCTCTCATAAAGCTTTCAATTCTCTCAGATTGCTCTTAATTCTCTTAAAAAGTTCTCAATTCTCTCAGAAAGCTCTTAATTCTTTCAAAAAGGCTCTCGTTTCTCTCCGAAAGCTCTCAATTCTCTCAGAAAGCTCTCAATTCCTTCAAAAAGCCCTCAATTCTCTAGTAAGGGCTCTCAACTCTCAAAAAGCTCTCCATTCTCTCAAAAAGCTCTCAATTATCACAAGAAGCTTTCAAAATTTAAATTCTGATCAAAACTCTCACAAAGGACCTCAACAAAAATCCAACACTAAAATCTAACTCCTGCGAGTAACAGAAGCGAGCGAAAGACTCAAAGTATAAAATTTATGTCAGGCATGTCTGTAGAAATAAACATTTATATGAATGGCATTTGGGGAGGCATGGAAGGAGGGCATCATAGGCAACATAAGCTTGAAAAAAGAGCTCAAGAATGAGGAAGAAAATGTCTTGAAATGTTGAAGAAAATGAGCCATCATTTATTCCGACAGCATTCTATGCTATTGCTAACAGCAACGACAGTGACAGTAGATAGATGAATGAATGGTTGATGATGAATAGATGGATGGATAGACAGATTTTTTGCGGTATTTTAGGTATTTTTTAATATATTTTGCACATACACGTGTGGATGTTGAGGCATGTGTATTTATAGGATAAGTCAGACACAGTCATGAAAAAAAAATGTAATAATGTTGAATGATGAAGGATATGTAGATGAAGTTGGAAGGTGGTTGTGGATAAAGTTAGAGCAGACTGTCAAGGAATTATTGATGGTAGATTTTGTAAGTTTGATGTCTCGAAGTTTGGGGTGTTGGATCGATATTCAAACTGATGTCAAACAATTAATAGGAATTATTTTTGAAGTATTACACAACTCAGGACCCCCACATGCCCTTAAAACTTAAAATTTGAGATAATAATTTAATGATCCCTCAAAAATCCAAAAACTGAAGAAAAAGTCAAAATTCCTAGTAAAATAATTGATTTCTCTAATCGATTAATCCCCAAAATTCATTCTTGTTTCAATTCTCCCGACCAAATCAATCATCAAATTAAATTAATTTCAATTAATCTCCCCGAAAAAAACACAAACACAGCTGCCATAAAATAATTCATTATACATCAATCACTTTTGTGTTGATCACATCACATCACTCGCTAATCAATTGCATACGTTACCATATGTTGGGATTTTTTTTTATCTAAATCTAAATTTATTCATTTTATGGAATTTGATTTGCTGTTTTGATTTTTTTTTGTGGTATCTTTTGTATAGTTGCATGCTAAGTTTGGGTTAAATTTACAATTTTTTTTGGCATCAATCGCCATTAGATAATAAAATTCCTATTCAAATGATCCTCTAAAGCCTCCTTAATGAATTTTAAACCATTTTATGAACCAAAAACCCGATCATAGTCCTCTGGAAGCCTAAGCAGGAGGAAAGTTTCCCCATTTTCTAATAAAACACCAAAAACTTATTGGATTTGAACAATATAAAATTCACAACTAATTCCAAATAATTTAAAAAATGCTGATAAGTTTTCCTCATGATTCCAAAAAATGCGCTCCATCCAACCAATCTCCATGACTTCCCAACTTGTCCAACTTCTCATCTCATTCAATTTATTTTTCACTTTATTTTTCTTCCATGTCGCTTTATTTTCATCACAGCGTGTGACTGATGGATCCGTTGAAAAAGGTGACATTATTGACTTCCACATGTACAATCAATGAACGTACGTCTACCTTTATGCTCATAGCAAATTCAAACTCTTGTGACAACTGACAATGTCTAACATTTTAAATTTTTTAATTTTCTCTTCTTTCCTCCTATACTTCCTCTTTTATTATTTATCTGTCACGATATTGTGTTGGCTTGAATGCATAAATAGATTTAGATAAATGACATGTTGAAGTTGTGTGTATTTTGGATATGGAGACATAACTACATACAGCAAACAGCAGCAAATACAAATTTATTAAAATGACAGCAGCAACCGAGAGAAGAATAAGAAAGCAAACGACAAGAATATATTTTTCTGTGTAAATTGGACGTTGAAAGACGAAAATGAAGTAGAGAAAAAACTAATCAATCAATATTAAGAACTTATCATCGTTCATAGTCACGAAAATGTGACACGACTGTCACCACAAAATTTATTTTTATAAATGCCATGCTATCATGCTGTGTAGATAGACACTGTAGGGGTCTTTGGACGAGTACTTGGATGAATTATTCTGGAGGGTAACGGACATCTTTGGATTATTATGTGGTTTTGTGGGGTAGATTTGTGTTAATTTAAGATTACTCTCTTACTTACTTCGACGATCTTACATCAATTGTGATCCATGGCAGTCCTCAGATACCACCTAGAACTGGCTCTATCGTTGGCTATCACTTACCAATAATTTAAGATTATACAGTTAAAACCACAATTATGCTGAATTCAAAGGTCTCATATTTTTCTTAAGAATTTTTTGAGCTGCCTAGAGGCTCCTAAACTACACCATACAGCCATTGAGATTGTTTCAATCCTTTTTTAAGGTTTCAATATTATTGTGACCCTAGCTTTCTCTCGCATAATATGCTACTGAGTATTTTTGTCATAAATATGCAATTAAATAAGCTCAGAACACTCTCAACAGTATTCCTATGTCCAGCACATACCTTTAAATCTTCGATTCATCCATTCCCTCATCCAATCCTCAAATAATCAAAGAATTAGACCAAACATCTACACAGCAATGTCCCAACAATATCAACTCACCACCTACAGTCCACAAAACATCATCAAATACACAAACAAAAACGTTTATGCTGATGACAGTCCGCAAATGATACGAGACGTTAATTAAGTTTCCATCCACATTGTGTATACATTCTGTTCTTACGAGCTTAAATGTTCATGTGTCAAGATGAAAAGTGCGCAAAATAACAGAAAATGGATATGCGGAGAGAAATGAGAGTGATACATAGATTTGTGCGGCGGCATGTAATTTTTGTGATTTTACCTTGCTTAGTAGGTATTAATTTTCCTTTAAGCTCCCCGTCTGCTGAGTTTTGTATGAGTATTCTCATTTATCAACTCATGCATTTTATTCTCGGTGTGATAAAAAAAGGTATGTTTATTTTTTGGGGAGTGAGGTTAGGGATTGTGGAAATTAGGACTGCACTGTCCAGATTTACATTTTACATGTTAAACTTAAATACATATTTACATGGATTAATATTATTGTGAACTCAAGTATCCGATTTTCAACTCAAGATTTTGAATTAATCAGGCTCTGATTTTGATCTTTTGTGGTCGCGAAGTGATACTATTCAGATTTGTTCTGATTATGTTCCATTCTTGTAGCTCCCGTTCCTATTTGTCTCGTTTTATGTAACGTTTCTGATTCGTTTCTTAATCAACTGTTATCCAGAGGGCTGACTATTGCTTGATCTCATACATTGAGCAGTTGAAGCATTTAACAACAAATTTAGAAATGACATGATTCGAATCGACAACCTACCAAGCTTAGCGACTTGGTTACTACCCAACAGAAGCACTTAACTGCTTTGATTCACGTTTTCTTATAACTATGTATGCCAAATAAAATACTTCCAATATACTTAAAACAGATGCACCAAAAAATAGTCCAACGATTCCTCCAAATTGCACTGGAAATAAATAATTTTAAAAAAATATTACTGATTAGACTCAGGATACCTCTGCTCACCAATAAGATCCAATCTGTCCATAACAACACGTCTGATGTACCTAAGCGTTGGATCCAAAACTTTAATCTTCAAAATTGTAATGTCGCGATTTTTATCATTTTTTACTTCAAGTTCAGTTATTCCAATTTTAACAATTTCCATATTGATGCATGTTGGAACCAAGCAGTCACTCAAATGTTCTATGACATAATTTTTAGATTTTATGGATATTAAATCTTTATCATTGAGGGTTTGCAGGCATTCAAATTGACTGACATTGCATGCTTGTAAGTTTTGATTCATTAAATATCCAAATGGAAATGTGCAATTACATATTTTTAATTCATTTTCTGCACGTTTTATGAATCGACATAAGTTAGTGTTGAATGGCATGTTGAATGGAGCTATTCGCTCATATGGAAATCGACACTCACGTTGTTCTAAGGATTCAAATTTGACATCATCGCGATTATGAAATTCTACAGTTTTAATCAAATATTCATTTAATTTTCCATTCTTGCTATCAAAAAGATCTGCATCATGTGGCATCTCTTCAGGTGAATGGATGAAAAGTCTGTATTTATAAAAGTCTGATTCTTTTAAATGAATTTCTAGTGATTTTTCTCTTCGATCACTGCTTAAATATTTTAATGGTAAGCTACCAAAGTCTTCATAATTCTCTTGACTATTGTAAGTTTTTGAATAAAGGCTGTTAGTCGTAAAACAAATTTCATGCTTATAATTGATACGTTCAAAAATGTCAGAGCAGTTAACTTCATCACTCAGGAAATAAACTGAATCCATAAATTCATGACATAATTTCGGTAAGAAATGATTTTGAATTAATTTCATGTCTACACCACAAGTATCGTTCATATCAAAGCATCTATCAAGAGAAATACTATCCATTGGATGATCATAGTTCAAAAATAAAATACTTTGAAGCACTCGAAAATGTCTTATACTAAGTTTTGATTTTGAACCATCAAGACGAACAAAACTGTCACCAAAAAATTGTTTAAATGGCGATGTCGATCTGCCTTTACCCAAACATATTGATACGGCTGGAAATGAATTATTCCAATCTAAATAATTTGTATCCAAACTTAAACTTGTTGATTGAAATCCTTTTTCAAAACTACGTCTTAATATTATCACCATAATCACAAACGATAGTCCAATAAAAAATGACCAAAATATTTTTGCAAAGATCTTCTTCCACCCTATTTTTGTCTCATCAACGAGATATTTCAATCCATGAAGCGATGTTGATTTTAGAAAATATGAAAATTTTTCAACCATTTTGAATTGCTTTGTCTGATTTAGTTGAGGTTTTACGCTTTACTGATTCGTAATCGTGCGAGTTTTCCAAAAACAATGGCACTTGATGAATAAATAATTAGATTTGTAGATCAAAGGAGAGATAGTCATGCATATCAAGAAATATAAGACAAGTATTGATTTAGAGTGCAAGGAAAATCTGCGGACTTTTGCATAATTAATGTATTTTTAAGCGCATTTTTGAAACTTGTTGATAAAAGGTAGCTTAATAATGCACTTTGTTCGGCTGCTCGTTCGGGGGAAGAAAAACTTTTTAACCAGACATCGTAGAGAGCTCGGTTTTGTTTTATTTGCTCAGTTCTATCGAGTTATTGGCCGATGGAACAGTTAAAAGTCTTAAAACAGTGTATTTATACTTTAATTGATGAATTTTTTATTTCATACGAAAAACACGTACGTTCAGAAATTTGAATTATTTTCTACAGTTGGTCGCCTGGTGTATCGGGTAGAAACCCAATGCGTGCAATAGGCTATTCTTCGCTGGCTTGATAGGTTAGAAAAAGAGCTCGAAGTTGACTCGAGATTTTCATCGATTTTGTATCGCGGAGTCGACAAATTTACATCGACTTCGAGCTCTGGGTAAAACCCTATTTAAATAAGTTTATCAATTTTAGATTCTGTCGTTTCAACATTTATAACTTCCATATTAATACATGTTAGCACCAAACAGTCACTTTATTGTTTCAAACACACTCCAACGTCCCAATCCCCTTCGCACTTTACCATGAAAATTTACAGGTATAAAGAACACAAACAGCATTTGTAATTTGCCATTTGCCTCAACATAACATCCATACATACATAATTAAGTTTGCAAAAATTGGGGGAAGTGGTAAAAACTGGATTAAATGCTTTACTCACATACGCCAATTAGGTTTTGTAGACATGCCATACTGTATAATTCAGGTTGAATTTTCAATTTTTCTTCTTGTTTGTGAAAAATTTATTCTGCTTTATGCTGAATAAGAAGGAGAAAGAAAAATTGTGAAATTTTTTTTAATCACATGTAGAATGACTCACACACACACACACACACACACGTTTTGATTCTTTCATTAAGTTCTCATGTGCTTCTTGTGAGGTAATGAAAAACTTTTTTACATTAATTTCAGCACGTGTGGGTTGTTTTTTGGGAGAACTCTTGTTTCATGTCAGGTGATAATTTTGATTGAGGATAGATAAATGAAGTTTTTGAGGATTTTACTTTCTTTTTGATGTCAATTTTTTAACGATATTTTTGGCATAATATCAATTTACCAGCTTACATAAACCCTCAGGGGCGTGGTCAGGATTTTTCAAGGGGGGGGTTCCCAAAAAATTTTTAATTTCCAAAATCAATAAAACTTTCTTTACTGTTTTTGCTTTTATCTTTTCTTAATTAACTGCGATTTAAAGTTTAACTGCCCGGGCACCTAAGGACCCTTCAGCTTCGCCCCTGCGAACCCTACTCCCCTCAAAATTAACTCCAAGCCATTAAATTGCAATGAAGCATTAAATTATCATTAAAAATGTACTTAATTGAATTAGAATCATTTCATGGATTTATGTCGACATTAAAATGATTTGACAGTTTGACTTCTTTAAACCCCACGATCATGGTAGCAAATCATACACCTCCACGGACATTCATTCATTCCTACGGCAAGAAATTAATAGAAAAATAATCGCATAACAAGTTTTGGTCTCTAGTTTTACCTCCTTTCCCTCCTTTACCCACTTTTCAGCACATAGGTTGATCTTCACTGCTTTTTCACACTCATTTGTCAATGACAAAGATTTGTCGAGGAGACAGAACCTCTTTGGCTACATCCCTGACACTAGGCTACTCCTCTCCTACGAAAACCATTCACTTATGAGTCTCACAACATCACTAGACTCTCAAATACCTTCAATCCTCTTCAGACTAAGCATGATTCACTCTCATTTTCAACAAAATCCTATCCAAGGGAATCTGAGTCATGTGTAAGTAAAAATAAATTAAAAGTAATTTTTTTCAGCTCATGCATACCTTCTATCTAAAAGCTAAAAATATATGAGACGAGAGTAAATGAGATGGAGAATTATTTATGGTTAATTACCTTGTGCTATATATTCTATTTAACAAATTACTAAAGCCACATTTTGCGGTTATAAATGGAAGGGTTTTGGTGGGAGGAGAGCAAATGTGGGTGAAATATTTTCAGTAATTTACACAAATTTATATTCTTTCATACATTCCACATAAAGCATGGATAAGAGACGGGATAAAAAGCTGTAAAATGTGATGAAATGAGAATAATTTTTTATGCTTTCTTGTTGTTGAGTGTTTTAGCAGTTTATGCTGCTTCACTTAATGTCTTTAACCATTTTTCCGATGGAAATATGTTATTTTGGGAGTTTTATGTGCAATGTATGCAACCTACAACTTTAACAGTCAATTTAACTTTGAATATAATTTTCGAAAAATTCGAATTTTAAGGAACCGTTAAATTTTGAATTTTTAAGATCTGTTAAATTTCAAATCTTCAATTTCCGTTAAATCCTCAAACTATATTTATCAAAAACTTTCCACATCCATGAACTCAACTTCCCATCAATTACATCCAACCCTCTTGCATCTCACTCCCCATCAACCCATATATTATAGTGTGTGGAGAGATAAATGACTGAATTTATGTTTTTGTTTTATACCATGCAATAAATTCATAATATGAGCAATTTTTTTCCACTGCTGCTTCCTTAATGGAATTTTCCTCTCTCTTACTCAGTTATGTGCTGCTCTTTTCTTTCTTGTTTGGCTTACACATTCTACATTGCACATTATGGCTCACAAACTAAACATGTTAAGTTATATGTTGAAGTTTTCCTAAATGGATGGATAAAGGAAGAAGAATGCAAGGGGTGGATGGACATTTTTTTGGTTGGCAGCATGAAGCTAATTTTTATGAAAGTTAAATAATTGAGGGACAAAACTGGGGGGCTAAGGTTGAGGTATGCTGGAATATAAGTCCAGGTACAAATACAGCTGGAGTTATAAACTGCACGTGAGATTTTTTAGTTCAAGTGCAATTTTTATCTAGACTTGTCAAGCTCTAGTGGCTTTTGTTTCTGAATCTATAACCCAGCATCAGATTGGGGGAGGGATAAGAATTAGAAAGGGTAAGTCTTGCCTAATTACCTAAATCAGGGGGGCTTAACCTAATGTTAAGGCTTATAAATGTGCCAATCTCTATAATTGCTCAAAGATATACTCCAGAGCCTAGTTTTTAGGCAACAGATTTATGCACTAATTCAATACACACCCAACCATAGTTTCAAGTCAAACTGCATGTTTCATCTCCTTAAATATCGTCTAGCATCTTCTAGCATCTTCTAGCATCTCCTACATCCATGTCCTTACTGTATATGATTCAAAAAGTTAGCTAGTTCCTAACCCCTGATCTCCCCTTTTCATCTCATAAACTAGAGAGAGTGAAGAAGTAAAATTGTATATTTGTAGAAACAGAAAGAAATGAGATGGTATGGCGGCAATACTTCTTATGCCTTAATACTTACTATAACATTATATTATGTGCTCTATGCGAAACAGCAAAGTATCAAGAAAAAGCAAAAAAAAATTCTCTCGGGGCATAAATTAAATTGATGGCACCCATTTCTACAGTCATACATACACATATATACAGCGAGAAGCATTAAAGAGAAATTTATTGAGTTTGGATGGCAAACGACTTAATACAAAATATCTCTTGTGCTTGTTTCTTATTCGTGCATATCTGTTTTCGCTCGTTTATGCGAATAAGGAGAATAATGGATGGTTAGAGTATAAGATGAGAAGAAATTGAATTGGATTTTTCTAAATTCTAACTCTGTGGACAAGTTGAGAATGAATTTAAATTGGATTTGGTTTACTTGTTGTGTGAAATAAATAAATTGTTTTTTCTGGTGACAAATGGTCATGTCATGGGGTGTCAGTTACATGAGATATGTTAATATGGATTATATAGAATGTGATAAATGTGTTGATTTAGAATTTTGGTCTCGATATGATTAAATTGACTAAAATGGTTAACTTGTAGCGATAGTCACTTTACATCTTAGTGGTTGTCATGAGGTATTATTTTACCTACTCGAATGAGACAGGGCTTTGAAAATAAAAGTACCAGGGGCGTAGCCAGGAACTTGAAGAGGAGGGAAAAAAATATGGAAAATTTAGGAGGGGGGGGGGGGGGGGGTTATAAAATCCTAGTAAAATGAAAAAAATTCTCTTAGTGTAGAGGAGTTTGTCACCCTAGAAGCACTTAATCGGCAAGAGGCTGATTTTAGGTTCTAATCGAATCTGACTTTTCGACAGCTTCACACTGGCCTGGTAGAACTTTTTTCTGACCTTTATATTCCGTGTGCTATTAATGTTGGATTAAATAGAGGCTAATTATGGATGCACTTAAGGATGAGTATTTAAATTTTCACAGTGTCTCCTTTATAGCTCTCATTGAAGTTTCCTGAATATTTTTATAAATCCGCAAAAGAAAAACCCAACCTCAGACCTCAAAATACCCCACTCAACCCCACAACTATAGCAAAGCGCGCTCAAAAAAACATTAAAGACAATAAATTTTTTCATATTTTTTTCTCTCCTCGTTACTCAATTTTTTATGGCTTTTTATGATATTATTATTTCTTTTCTTGTTTTATTCTCGCCGCAAGTTTCCATTTCATCATTGTTCCTTCTTCATCCTCCTTTCATTTATTTCCTCTTCTTATTCACATCTATTATTTGATATATTTTTCATTTCAGATGATGCCATTACTAAGATGTCATTAAATTAAATGCAATAACAGTTTCTAGTTGATGATAAATTGAATTTTGAAGATATTATATGAGTGAGAAAGGGTTTTGTGGCTAGAGCGCATTTTTGTAATAAAATGGGGACTATGATATGGACAATAAAGCCCCCCACACCTTTCAGAATAAAGACTTTAAAGGATCGATTAAAAGCCTATCCGAACAACCTCGCCTGTGGGGTGGCAGCCCCACATTCAGGTTAGCGGTACAAAGAAAGCAACAATAAACTCTCCCCTCCTGCTCATCGTATTGGAGCAGATATGTAAGTAGCTACTTCTGTAGCCATCCGAACTGCATAAGCTCAAATACAATGATTTTTTTATCAAGATGCCAAATCTCTTTAACCATTTTCCCCACTTTAAAAAAAAGCATCAAGAATTCCATACAGTTACATTTATTACATTTGATATCATACATCTTTGATTCCTAATTGCCTTACAACGATTTTCATTTCACTCCTTTCTTCCGTCTTCTCTCTGTTGCTGCTATTTTCCTCGTGGCTGCTTACCCAAGAATTTATGAGACACACATACAGCATATTGGAAAGCAAGGAAGAGAATACGAATAGATTTGTGACTATATGCGGTTAGGAAAATAATCTTTTCGTGCTCTATTGAACTTCTTCCATTGTTTGGCTTCTCATTCTTGTTATTTTGTAGCTAATATGTTCAAATTTTATGGGAGTTTAAGGAATAAAACTCGTGAGACCACGGGGAGGAATTGTGCACATAAGTTAGAATTTGTACTTTTGTCGGTGCTTTTTAGAAGAAAAAGAGGAAAATTTATTTATTGGCAGCATTTCTTGGCGTACATTTTTCGGGAAGTGGTTTTGTAGATGTTTTTTTGTTTCATTGTTTTGGGGTGATTTGCAGAGATCGAAGCCGATTTTTTCGGCTTAACTCAATTTTTGATTTTTTTGATAGAAAAAAGCCATTTAACACCCATTTCAAGTATTTAAATTGAACTTTACATGCTTTACTATGATTCTGTGTAATATTTTGTCAGCATGTAGCTATGGGAAGCTCAGAATTTCAAATTAGCCGATTTTAAGCCGATCGGCTTAAATTTCGGCTTAACATTCTTTAACTTGAAATTCTGAGCTTCCTATAGCTACATGCTGACAAAATATTTCGCAGAATCATAGTAAAGGATGTAAAGTTCAATTTAAATACTTGAAATGGGTGTTAAATGGCTTTTTTCTATCAAAAAAATCAAACATTGAGTTAAGCCGAAAAAATCGGCTTCGATCTCTGGTGATTTGTAATTGGAAGTTATGAAAGTGTCTGGATCGTTTTGTTGTGCGTGTTTGTTTGAGGTTAGGGGTACATACATTATTTTTAATAGGTTAGGATATAAATTCATTGCATAATAGGTTGAGCGGAGTCAGAATAGGTCTAGGATGGAAGTTATGGGTCAAGTAGAGTCAGAATAGGTTGGGTGAAGTCAAAAACAGTCATAACAAGTCTTAGTAGATAACGCAAGTCAGAATTCAAACAGTTTTTGAATGATTTTAGTGATTTTTGTCATTTTAAAGATTTTAGTTTCTTAAAACGAGTCTAGTTGAACCCGGGATGTAGCGAGGGTGATACTAAGTTACCTTGGAACCATCCACCCCTCCCCATTTCATTCAAAGTCGAAATTAAAAGTGTTCAGTTGACACAAACTAAGTCAAAGTCGAACCAAGTTTAAAAATTTATACAATAAACTCATACGTCTTCCAGTCAGCACATAATGACATTGTCTAAAATCACACACACGCAAATTCTTCATGATTATTCATCTAAAACTCAATTTTTCCCATCCCAAAAAAAGTCCCACCATTAATCATCCAAAAACAACTTCCTCCTAAATAGCACAAATTCCACTCAATCATAAATATCATCATGATAATAATCTCATTAATCTGACAATTTTAAATTGAAAAATCACAAAAGCAGAATGCACATCATTCAATCTGTTTATGTGGGGCTGTGTATCGGAGGTACAACAAAAACAACATCAGCAGCAGTTGAGTAAAAACATCAATTCATCACAAATCAATCGACGTGAAAAATAATATTTATGAACTGCAAACATATTTAGAGCTGTCTGTATTCCTTCCCATTATTTATTGTTATTTTTTAAGCAATTTTGATCAAAAATTGAGGTTTTTGGAGTCTGTTTGGTTTGCTGGGTGTAGACTTGACTTGGACTGAGTTGGTTCAACCTGTTCTGAATCTGCATGAGTTATTTTAGCTTGTTTTGATCTGATTTTACAGCGATTCACTCATTTTATATAGTGTGAGCTGCTTTAGCGAATTTAAATAATTTTCACCAATCACCTTCGTCCCTCATCTTCGCCACAGACACATTTTGACCATAGATAACCCTATCTGATTCTTAAGCAGTCACACAATGCGCTCAAAGCCTTAAATTCCTAATTTGATTGCAAATTTTCTCCAACTTGCGCACACAAAACAAAATTTCTGACTTTGACTGAAACAGCACAGAAAAAAAAACATTTTTCTCCTTCACGTTATTATTATTATTTTTATTCCGTACATACAACAAACCAAACCCAACAATCCATCATTTTTCAATCCATCATAATGAATTATAATATATTATTCGAGTAAACTTGACAGAAATGATTGTTGAAGAAATTATTTTCACTCGTTGAGTGAGACGACAAGCGAAATATGGTGAGATATCATGATGACAATGATGTGGAATGAGTGGTGGAATGGATGAAGAAAATGAGTTTTTTGAGAGCTTCTTGGCTTGCTTATTTGAATGAAAGGCATCGAATTTTGTTTGGAATTATTAAATTTGGTGATTGAAACCGTCTATGTGACATGACCCATTATTTTCATTAATTTGATTATTTTTGAATCATTATTTAACCTTTTTTGATCATTTTAATAAGTTCCACATCCTTGAACATACCCGAAATGAAGAAATAAATTCCAGCAATCAACTGAAACTGACTAAATATGATATTGATATGAAGGAGCTACCAAAAATTCTATAAAAATCCAATAAAACAGAAACGATGAAAATGTCTGATTATGTCAGCAAACGACAGTAAAAAAAGTTTTTCTTTTGTATTTTCATTTTGTTTGAACAAGTGTCGTTCATCTACATATCAAAAAAGTCATAAAGTCAGAGGCAATAATAAGACTAGAACGATATTTGTGACTGAATATTTATTGATTTTTTTCTTTGTAAAATTGAGCAGGTTTACAATTTAACTCTTTATTTAAAATTAATTGACTTAATCATAATAATGTGAGAGGGATTCAGCCTGGCGGTGTGTTACTACACGTTGCGATATGCTGAAGGCACTGCGATCCTGATCGATGATAGAATCTATTGTACCGACTTAATCATAGATTGACGAGATATTTTTTGACATAATTCTAGACAAATTATAACAAAACAAATTAATTTAATAGAGGGGAGGGCTGTCCTCTGAAAAACCAAGCAGATGGACAGCCTACTTAATCATCATAAGCAGCATAAGAATTAATACAATTTAAAAGAACGAGCTTTTGATAAATCAATTTTCACGGCAGTCTTAGTAGTAGATAGTGGATACTGCATACTTTCTGACGGATCTGTTCGACTTGGGAACTGAAATTGAAACGGAAATCATTTTTAAAAAACAGACTTTAATTACCGCAATAATTGGATATTGAACAATTGATTTGTATCTTCAATAAAATGATTTAAATCAATTTTCAAAAATTTCATTAAGGCTATATAAGCATCAGAGAAGCATTCAGACTATTATTTCAGTTTATATTTCTGCTAATAAATTAAGCAATGATTTTGCTCTTCGTTATTTTTATATCCTTACAGATGATAAATTTCATTGACGCTAAAAATTATTTAACAGTTGATGACGGTAATATGACAATTTTTAAAAAATAATCTTAGTTCCCAATTTCACATCCAAACTCATTCATAGAACTTAAGGACTGTGCGAAAACTGATGATCATTTGGTTGATTGGAGTGACTACAACCTAGTTGCAATAAATGATACACTTACAGTTGTTAATGGAAGCGTTACATTTCTCAGAGATGTAATTAGTCCTTGGTCGGCACATTTTTACGCTGAACGATATGAACGTGGTCAATGGTTAATGCAAGGATATGTTCAAAAACTTCAAGACTTGTGCACGGAGTTGCACAATCAACTTCAACCTTGGTATAAAAAATTTAAAGACTTTGACACTTGTCCAATTCCAAAAGGTGTAAGTATGACATAAATTTCTTGTTCTTAGGACATCGCGAGGCATAGCTTGATTATCAGTAGGTCAAGGGTGCAGAACTGATGAAATGATCAAAATTGATCAAGTTTTGCACCCTTGCATTAGCTTTTAGTAATTCTATCCTTAATTTTATCAAAAGCTAGCTTAACTATTAACTCGACAAATTTTATACAATCCTTATAATCAATTATTTACAATAGACTAAATGGGTCTTCAACATGGTTCCAATTGAAATGGTCAATAAAGTTCAATATTTGCCTCCACATTATGCAGGAAGATGGCGAATTATTTTTGATACAAAGTATTTTGAAAATGGAGTTGAAAAGCGCGAATGTAAAATGGGATTTGGTAATTTATTTGTTGAATGACAATTTGCTTGAGCTTCAATCAACTTTTCAACCGGCAATAATAAACTTAATGTCTTTGAAATAAAGTTACATTGTGATTTAATAAGAAGATTTTATTTTGGTTTCAGCGATCGTTTATCAACATTTTTTCCAAGGCGTGGAAACTATCCCAAATATCCCATATATCCCAAAAATATTCAAAATAATGCCTGAGCCTGTATGCATTAGAATTGAGATATCCCATCATATCCTGAAATTACACGTCCAATACACTAAGGATACATTTTTGGGATATGTGGGATAAATATGATATTTGGGGTAGTTTCCACGCCTTGATTTTTTCAGAATATTTTACGAAAATTTAATTATTTTCTAAAATTCGATTGATTTACTATCTAAGGGTATGATATTTTCAAGAAACTTCTGATCTTAGTGATAAAGTCAGATGAGAAGTAATTTGTTGTCAAAAATTAATTTTTAATTAATTTCAAAAAAATTATCAATAGAATAATAATGAATTTTGCTGGACTGCCGTGCCTTGCCATCCTTATATCCTCTTAATTTTATCATCATAACATTACAACTTAGTTTTATATTTTTATAACTTTGGTCCTGTTTCAACAAAAACATCTGCGAATCCAATTTTGCATTCGTGCATGTCAATTCCATCAACATCAAACATTCCATCAATAAATAAACGCCATTGTCCCATGTAATGACTAGGAATTGCTGCTAAGACTGCTGGTGAAAACTCAATTGGAACCATATCGAATTTAAATTCATACTGAAAAGTATTTAAAAATTAATTGAGTGGTAAAAAAGTTTTTTAAAATTAATAATTTGAGGGTCATTGATAAATGACGTCGCATAATGAATAAATTTTCAGAAGAGAAATATTTTTTATTCTAGTGATGAGCAACTTATGTCCCGCAGCACAAACGTATGTAGCCTCACTGTGAGTGGTTTTAACTTGACTTAATGTATGTATGTATGTATGTATGTATGTATGATTTATTAAACCTTTTCGGTCATTGAATTTAATTTCTTTTTTCTCTCTTCTCTCCTTTAGAAAAAATACAAGGTGGGTTTACCACAACTATCTAAGACTTTACCGAGTCTACAATATGAACAGAAAATCAACCAAAGTTTGACAAAGATAAGTCAAAGAAATCAGGCCCAGATTACGTTCAGAATAATTTTCATTGCTTTAATTCATTACTTAAAACTGCAGTAATTTATGCCTCAAACTCACATCAAAAGACTTTTGCCTCACTAATGTGCCATTAATCCTAAGCAACCAATTTGATTTTAAAACTAGGGTAAAATGAAGTTATAGAGCAACTTACACCAACTGGAATCGGACATGCTGAATAATCTTTTGTAACATAATACGATGGTGATGTTGGATTATGCATTTCTGTACAAAAGTCTTTATAATCTTTTGTGTAAGCCTGCAACAACCATTTTCCTCGTTCATAATGTTCAGTATGAGCATGAATGAACCATGGACTTGTGATTTCCTTCATTACTTTTATGGAACCATTGACAAATGTGTGAGTGTCGTTTTCAGGAATCATGTGAAAATTTGAGTAGTCATAAAGATGTAAGTCTTTTCCAGGTGGAGCACAGTTTTCTAATCCTACGAAAAAATTTGTATTTTAATAATTTTAAGTTGGAATTGTTTAAATTTTCACTTACGATCATCAATTATAACATAAGTTCTAGCATGAACCAATATTATTAATTGCCATGACATCACAAAAATGCAGCAGAAATTCATTGTTTTCGAAATTAAGTATAAATTGTTTGTGAGCCACCGATTGCGTTGTCATCATATTTATACCAGCAGATGAATTTCTAAATCGAGATGTTAATTGGAACATTAAAAATTTAACACTTGTAATTTTCACTCGTTTTTGCAATAATGCGAATGACTTCAAATATTATCGAAAAGTCATGAACTATTACGTGTGGCAAATGACTGCTGCAAGCCACTGCAAGCATTTTCTCAAACTTTTTAAGTCTGATCGACATTTTCAATTTTTTGAAACATTTCAATTTCTTGAACTTAAAGTAAATTGGCAAAATAGTTCAAGTGTTGATCATAAATCTAAGACAATTCTTAGGCTAGAAACTTTTTCGAAGTCCTAGTTTGAGAACCTCTGGTTAAGGTATAGATAATGAAAAAGATACGGTGATTATTGCCCTAATCAATTGCCATCAATGACATCTGAAACGTGTCATCAAAAATTAAAGATTTATTTGATTCATGATGAATCGGAAATAGCAGTAACACATGTTCATACTTATTACTCTTCCTCACTTTCAGCATATTTTTCTATTAGGAAATGACCCTATTGTTCATAATTAGTGTCAGTATTACTATCTCCTTCATTCTTTTGTAAACAAGAGTAATTTTTTCGATAAATTTTTAATACAAATTTAAGTTTATTGTCATAACTTTTGCAAGTTTTGACATTTTGAGCTGAAATTTAGAATAAAGCTCCTTTGGCTGTTCTTAAAAATGGAACCGACGCCATTTTAAATTTTAAGGGATAGAACCATCTCTAGCCTTGAAGAGAGTACAACATAATATCATTCAAGATTATAATATGATTTGCGAAATAGTCTGAAAAATATAGATTTGAATTTGAATGATTCACGATAGCTAGTTTGATAAAATTGATCAATAGTTAGGATGTCCATCGATTATTGCTGATTTTTGGTGTCATGTCCTGAAATCAGCTCTGAAAAAGCGAGACAAACCAAATTTTAAAGCATTTTCCAAGAAAAATTGGTTCGAAAAAGTGGAATATTAAGGATTTTAGGCGAAACTTTGATCAAAAAGCTGGGCTTCTCAAAAGTGTGCAATTGGACAGCCTATCAAAAGTGAACATGAAGATATTTCAAAGCTCAGAGCTTTTCAAAGTCTTTAATGCGATGAGTTTAAACTTCTTAATGAAAGTTTGAAGATTTAAACTAATGAATGGCATTAACTTTGATTGCATTGTCGAAAAGGTGATCTGACATTGTTAATAAAAAATTTGCAATTTTCAAAAAAAAAAGTTTCGGGGGTTCACAATCGCACTGTAAATTATAATTAGTTTGCTAAAGCTTCATTGATTGTCAGCTTTTCATTCACATTGATGTGTTTTTAAAGTTAGATAATTCATAATTGATTTTTGTGACACTCTATGGGGGTCGATTTTAAATTCTGTAACAGTAATAATTTTAATTTTTGGTCTAAGGGTTCATTTACTCATTACGCTATGCAATAAAATTGCTTTTTAGAACCCCCTCTCCCCTAAAAAAGAGAATGTAATATGTGATTATCTCCGAATCTTCTTTGTGTATAACATTTCAGTTTCTATTGTAATTAAAACAATAACGAAACATCCGAACGACTCCAACTTTAATTAAGATTAAAACGTTCATTGTTTTCAATTTTTTGAAAAATACAATTTTTTTGAGAACTCAAATTTGATTAAGATTACAATATATAAGTGCATACTTTAATTATATCATTTTCACTTCATTTTCAAATGTAAAGTGACATTTTTGAAATAAAAATCCAAAATAATTTTTAAATTTTAATTTCAAGAAAATTAAACCTTAAAAATGTGGGTCCAATATTTCCTGTTATTGCTTACCAATCTAGTAATTACAATTAATGCTAGAACATATGTAATAATTGACGAAAGTAAGTTAAAATTTTAAAATCTTCATAATTTATAATTTTCATAATTTTTCCATTTCTAGAAATTGAAAAGTGTGTTGTCGAAGGTTATGACCCAAATTTTGAAATTTATGATATTTCCGGCCTTAAAATTATTCCTGAAAATGACACGCATACGTTTATCAATGGAAAAATGATACAACGTGTGGAAGTAAAAAGTCCTTGGGCATTACATGTCCATATGGAGCACTACGATCGAGGAGAGTGGCTCCTTCAGGCTTTTTCAAAAAACTTTACTGACTTTTGTCCTGAATTTAAAAGTCCAATTCAACCGTGGTATTATGCAACAAAGCATTTAAAAGGCTGTCCAACACCAGTTGGGGTATGTTGAGAACTTTCAATAGTAACTTAATTTATAATCAAAAAGGATTTATCTTTTTAGCATGTTCATGAATTTAATATGATTCCTTTGGAGTTATCTGAATATTTACTGAAAGCCATTCCACCACATTACATGGGAAAATGGAGGTCTGTTATTCATAGAGGAATGAAAGTTAACGGTGTTGATCAACTTGAATGTTTAAGAGTTTATGCTCATGTTTATATTGAATAAAGGTTATTTACTTTAGGTTTATTTTTGTAAAAATATTTAAATTTCATTAAATTTTTATTAATAATTATTGCGTAAACAAGGAAGATTTTGGACCCTCAGCGATCAGTACTAGCAAGTCAATACGAATCAATGAGCAAATTATAGAAGCAAGACTCTAGTCTTGGCAGTGATGCCCAACCTTTTTTGAGCTATGTCACACTTGGTTGTATGCCATGACCAAAACCACACACCGCATACGGTTTTAAACATTATTAATTCCCAATTAAATAACTTTGATCAGTTTTGACTTCAATTACATTTCAATTAAAATCAGTTTCGATTACATTGATTAAATTGTTTTTTATCATAATCGTGCTCATTGAAACACTAATTAAATGACTACAAACTGTTCAAATTACTTTTGACAAAATGTAACTTTTTTATCATCATTTTTCTACATTACATAAATACTTAATTAATAGGGTATATAAAGCTTGAAGGATTTAAATTTTTTATATTTCGATTTCTAATTTTAGAAGTGCCTTACATAACGTTGTTAAGTAAATTTGTTGATTATTTAAAAGTAAAAAAAATGAGAACCGGATTGCTTTTTGTAATATTTATAAAAATATTCATTCTTGTTTTTGCAAAAACTTATATTATAATTGATGAAAGTAAGTTAAGATCAGCAGGTTGAAGAGGGGTTTAGGTTTAAAACTCAGCCTCAGAGCTTGAAGTTGGCAATATTTTGTCCTGAGTCAATTCAAATTCTTTGTTCAATTTACTAGGAGTTTTTGATGAATTTTTTTGTACACCCTCCCCCCTTTAACCCCCCCCCCCCCCCTCCTCTAGAATATGAATTTTTCACTCTTGGAACTGAAGATCCAAAATACGACCTTTTCGATGCATCGAATTTTGAAATAATTCCTGAGAACGACACACACACTTTTCTCAACGGTTCATTAAAAGTACTTGTGGATATAACCAGTCCATGGTTTCTTCATACGCATCTAGAGCATCTTACGCAAGGAAAGTGGCTTCTTCAAGCGTTTACAAAAAATATATCAGACTTTTGTCCAGAGTTGAAGAGTCCATTGCAGCCATGGTATTATGCAACGAAAAACTTGAAAGGATGCCCAGTTCCAGCTGGAGTAAGTTATTTTAGACATTATTAATTATGACTTATCTAAATTATTTTTCTAGCATGTTTGGGAGCTTAACATGATTCCGCTTGAATTAACTGAAATGCTTATGAAAGCTATTCCATCACATTACGTTGGAAGATGGAGAGCTGTTATCAATAGAAAATTTATGGTCGACGGCGTGTAGATGATGGATTGTGCAAGATTTTATGCTGATGTCCACGTGGAATAAGATTTAAGAAAAATGTTTTAAAATATGTAAAGTTTGAACAATAATTGAATTCTATTTCGTTCCAATAAACTTATTTTGACAATAAGATTCAAAATCTGTCTCTTTTACTAATGCCGTCACTAAACAGACTGGGTTTCTGCATCTGACTTCTATGAGGACGTGAGTTCGATTCTCACAGATCGACCTCTTATACCATTACATAAAGTATTTTCGATATGGCAAGGATTCGTTCATTTCTCACGACTTTACTATAGTTTAACATTTACCAAATGCTGCACGTCATTTTTGAACAACCCCCTATCTAAAATAAATCACATCATTAATTACAAAAAACGTCATTACATGATTAAATCTGCAAGGTTCTATTTACACCTTAGTTTCAGTTATTATTGAGTAGTTAGTCATTCATATTTTTGAAGAGTAGCTTTAATATGGTCAACTTAATATCACCATTTTTGTTATTACAGCTTATTATCATAATTTCTGCCAAAACGTACATTATTGTTGACGAAAGTAAGAATCATAATTTGATTGCATTTGACTAGTTTAATGATTAAAGTCTTTCAGAAATCGAGAGATGTATCGTTGATGGCTACGACAATGACTTTGAGACTTTCGATTACTCAAAATTCCAAATTATTCCTGAAAATGATACACATACTTTTGTTATGGTTCATTGGAAGCTCTCATTGAAATCAAGACACCTTGGTACATGCATGTACAGACTGAACATTACGAGCGTGGGCAATGGCTGGTTCAAGCTTATTCAAAAACATTTAATGATTTTTGTCCGGAAATTAAAAATCCACTCCAGGTTTGGTATTATTTGATGAAGGATGTTAAAGGATGTGTAGTTCTTAAAGGGGTAATATGATTAGTTTATTAATATTTTAATTAATGATTATTGTAATTCATTATATAAATAATTTGCAGGAAATGTATGAATTTGACATGCAAGCAATATCGTTTCCAGATAAGCTTTTAAATGCAATACCAAATCATTATACAGGCAAATGGAGATGTGTGGTTCATTCAGCATTTAATGTTAATGGAGAAAAGAAGATGGACTGCAAAAGGTATTTTGCAAATGTGTACATCGAGTAGATGTTACAATAATTTTATTTGAAATTAAAATGTTAATTTGTAATCCAGAAAATAAGGAATTAAATTCATTCCAACTTGATTGGTTCAACCCCAAAAAAGCTTTAAAGTGAAGTCTTTATCAAAATTTAAATTATCTTTCCTGTCAATATTATGACTGATATCTCAAAGTACCGGAAGTAATTAAACTGCTATTTATAAATTAAACTAGATTGTTGGAATCTTCAATCAGTTGTTGATTTTTACAGTTAATTTATGAAGTTGATTTTATTGATCAGTTGTAAACACTTATGAAGGACAGTGTTAAGCTTTATCGTTTAAGAAAATGATTAATTTTAAGGTTTTGCTTTTATTATTGCAGCTAAGCATTATAATTTCTGCCAAGACATATGTTATTATTGACGAAAGTAAGAATACGTAAAGTCTGAATTTTTAAATAAAATAATTTTTGAACCTTAGTAATATTTATTTCATTATTCTAGAACAAGAACGTTGTGTAGTCGATGGCTACGACAATGATTTTGAGACCTTTGATTATTCAAATTTTCATATCATTCCGGAAAATGACACACATACATTCATTAATGGATCCTTGAAAGCTCTTCTAGACATCAAAACTCCTTGGTACATTCATGTCCATACTGAACATTACGAACGTGGCAAATGGTTACTTCAAGCTTTTACAAGAACCTACAAAGACTTTTGTCCTGAATTTAAAAATTCTCTCCAAGTTTGGTACTACATTACTAAGAATTATAAAGGATGTGTGATTCCAAAAGGGGTAAATTTATTGATTTTAAATTTTAATGATGATTTATAATTAATTTTGCGCAGAATATCTTTGAATATGATATGATATCATTGAGCTTTGATGAGGTCCTGTTGAGGGCTATCCCAAATCATTACGTTGGAAAGTGGAGAGCTGTGGTTCATGGAATGTTTACTGTTGATGGTGTTGAGAAGTTGGACTGCAAGAGATATTATGCAAATGTTTATATTGAATAAAGAAGATTTGAATAAACCGATCTAACTGGGGATTGGGGGGCATCAATTAAGAGTTTTGTGATCTCTATGAATTTTGAAAACTCAGCTTGTTAAAAAAAGTCATAATCTCAATCCAAATATATCCAAAGCTATTAAAATTCAAATTTTTATTCAATCACAAAAAAACTAATTCAATTCAAAAACAAACAAAAACTAATAAAAATGACCAAATCAATAACTTGATGAAAACATCAAGACAAAGAAAAGAAATTAACAGCATCAGATTAAGACAAGCCAATTAACTCAAAACACACAGTATGTCCCCATGAAGACTTTTTCATTTATATTTTTATTTCATTTTATTGCGACATCAATTGCCTTTTAACTCACAGAATAACATTCACTCACTATCTCTCATACCATAAAATGAATTTTAATGACATCGGCATGAATGGCGATAAAAATCAGTCATTAATTTATATCCATTATAAAAGCTGAATGTATAAATGACATAAATTAAAAATGAGTTGAGAGATATTGGGGCTTTGTGGAGATGATGTGGCGCATTTTTTGGATTTATGTGAGCTAGTTTGTGACTTTGGGGATTTCCTCGAGTTTATTGATATTTTGTAGACTCTTCTTAAGCTATATAGTATCTTTTCGATTTTACTTGAGCTAGCTTGTATCTTTTTGACTCTAATCAGACTTTGCTAGTGTCTTTAGGACACTAATCAGACTTGCTAGTGTCTTTTAGATCTTTCTCGTGCTCACTAGTATCTTTTGGACTCTACTCGAGCTAGCTAGTGTCTTCAGGACTCTAATTGGGGGAGCTAGTGTCTTTTTGACTCAAACAAATGTCAACTAGAGTTTATTCAAGCTAGCTAGAGTCTCTAAGACTCTACTCGGGCTAGCTTGTGTCAATTAGACTTAGTTCAAGCTAGTTTAAACTTTATGTACTCTCATTAAGTTACCAAACTTGATAAACAACACCTTAACTCGACAAACTGCCTCTTAATCTTCAAAATTTTAACAAAAAAAGTATCCACCAATAATACAGAACTGTAGACAAGCATCAAGAGAATGAGCAACAGAGAGAGGTATTTAATATTTTAATTACAGTAAAAATGCATTTAACATTTAACAATGTTGTCATTTATAGCGTTGAATTGAAGTAAATGAGCTGACATTTATATATTTTTTTCATTTTCATTTTACACACACTTGACGCAGCAGCAACAGCAATTGTAGGATCTCACTTTTTTTTCATTATTTTTAAAATATAAACTGTCATCGTTATTTTGTTGTTGATGAGTTGCTGGAATGACTCTTTCTCAACGGTAAGTTTTGTGAGTTTTTTTGCGAGACTTGAAAATGAACAAAATTATGAAAAATTGAAGAAAAATTTTAAGTGCTGACATGTTGAGGAGAAAATGATGTCTATGAGATGGGATTACATGCAATTGATGTGGTAATTAGCATCAATTTGTCATTAATTTGAGATATTTATTGTTGAAAGAAATGAGAGGTCGATAATTTTTGTTATTTTATGTGGATTAGATAATTTGTCGTGAGACGCAGGATCTAGCTTTGGGGAAAAGAAAGGGGCAGTAAACATTTGACAATGGCTTATAACAAGCCCCACACCTCAGTTCACTAGAAACGAACCCCTAATCCCTCTTAATCGGCTCCTTTGACCCACCTAAAAAGTATGTCAACTACAAAGCAACAAAGTATCAAATGACATGCAAATTAATAGACTCTTTTCATATCTTACAGCCTTAATTGAATCCCATTATTCAACAGAATTCTCACATACCGCTATCAACAAACAGAAGTAAATGAAACCAACACTCAACGACTATCATCGATATTTAATACAATGTATGTCCATCCACGATTTATCTTGACCTATAATATTACAGAATTATCTCAACAACAATGTCTATCTAATCTTTAAACCATACAAGACTCCTGCAACAATGTAGATTACATGCAGACACGATCGTTAGTGCCATATCAATGGACAATTTATAACAACAATGCTTATTGTCGGATTAACTGAATTAAACATAAAATGTATGAAAAAAGTATCAACATAAAAATTACAGACATTAATAATTTTCAATTTTTATGCATGTCCAATTTTTCAGTGACTTTCTACGGCTTGTGTGGAATGATAATGTGGGATTCGAGTAGTTTTAAGCTTTAGAAAAATTAAAAAAAATGTATGAAATGAAAATAAATTGTTGAGAGGTTCTGGATGACATTGGACCCCCTTCTGACTACATATCAGCTCTTTGGATAGAAATTGGTGATTTTGGAGGAGCTTCAATCGTTATAAACCAGATAACTTAAGAGGTTTGACTATTAATCCTTAAAACTTCCATTTTCTATCGTCAAATTAAATTGTTGAACTTGCTTCAAGCCTCCCAATCCCACAAAACCTCAATTTCACCAAAACCAATCCCATTTCACACAACAAAAAAAGTGTATGGAGATGTTTACAAGAACGCGAGACTGTGCTGTAAATGCAAGAAGAAAGGCAATAAATTACAAAACACATTTGCTAATTATTTGCGATTTGTTTATCTCATCTACAAGCTATAAACTACAGCAATTCACTTTTTTTCTTGCATGTGAAACTGTAAAAGAAAATTTTATTTAATTCGTTATGGTGAATGAGAGGAGGCTGAACTGTTGGTAAAGTGAGATAGAGACAGAATATAAATTACAGAGTCATGAACAAGATAAATACAAGACAGTTTATGATAATTTTCTGGTATTTTATTACCACGTTTTTCTTAACTTGCTTTCTTGTCTTTCTGTCTTTCTGTTTGTCTTGGTCAAATCTTGCAATCAATTTTTCGACCACTTCTACTGCTCCAATCGAGCTCATTTTTTTTATTCACACGTATTCCCGGTGACAATACAATATTTTAACACATTGGAACCACAAAAATGCTTAATTATAGTACAATTTTAATAAAACTTTTTTATTTGGGAGAAAAATCCAATGTCAATGATATGAAATTTTGATTTGTTTAAAATATTATACTTGTGATGCTCTAAAGTCATTTATATGATTCATTATAGTTTAATTAATATTACTAATTATTAATTATACCATAAATTTGAGCAGCTAAAGATATTCTGGTAAGACAAAAAAATTGACATGTAATTTTTTCATGAATATTCGTAAGTGAAAATTTGAATTTTCAAAAAAACCGTTAAGCACAAGTCCGTTACGAATTTATGCAAAATAACTATTAATATGCGATGTGCATTTAGCACACATTGATTGAGTATAAATTTATGCTGTTTTAAATGTATTGCATTATTTATAACACTTCACCAACTTAATTAAATTGACTTTTCTTTTTATTAATGGCTTGACGTATTTTTGCATAACATATGAATGATATTCATTGAATTTAAATTTGAAAATCCGTTATAAATACGTTACATATAGATTTGATTTGCATCTTTATGTTAAGAATCCACACGTTATGTAGTAGGAATGGTTCGGATAAACACAAAATCTTTACGAGTGATTTTTAATGTACTTTACTAATGAATGCTTTAAAAAAATTAAATTTTATAAAACGAATGAAAAATTTTGAAAGTCGTTACTAATTTCCCATTGAAAACTGGTAATTTATAAACAGTTGAACGTAACGGAGTGAAACGAAGTTGAGTTCAACACACCAGTAACCTATGAACCTACTGTAATCTATAAACAGTTGAACGTAACGAAGTGCAACGAAGTGGAGTTCAACACACCTGTAACCTATAAACCCACTGTAATCTTTAAACAGTTGAACGTAACGAAGTGCAACGAAGTGAAGTTCAACACACCTGTAACCTATAAACCCACTGTAATCTTTAAACAGTTGAACGTAACGAAGTGCAACGAAGTGAAGTTCAACACACCTGTAACCTATAAACCTACTGTAATCTATAAACAGTTGAACGTAACGAAGTGCAACGAAGTGAAGTTCAACACACCTGTAACCTATAAACCTACTGTAATCTATAAATAGTTGAACGTAACGAAGTGCAACGAAGTGGAGTTCAACACACCTGTAACCTATGAACCTACTGTAATCTATAAACAGTTGAACGTAACGAAGTACAACGAAGTGGAGTTCAACACACCTGTAACCTATGAACCTACTGTAATCTTTAAACAGTTGAACGTAACGAAGTGCAACGAAGTGGAGTTCAACACACCTGTAACCTATGAACCTACTGTAATCTATAAACAGTTGAACGTAACGAAGTGCAACGAAGTGGAGTTCAACACACCTGTAACCTATAAACCCACTGTAATCTTTAAACAGTTGAACGTAACGAAGTGCAACGAAGTGAAGTTCAACACACCTGTAACCTATGAACCTACTGTAATCTATAAACAGTTGAACGTAACGAAGTGCAACGAAGTGAAGTTCAACACACCTGTAACCTATAAACCTACTGTAATCTATAAACAGTTGAACGTAACGAAGTGCAACGAAGTGAAGTTCAACACACCTGTAACCTATAAACCTACTGTAATCTATAAACAGTTGAACGTAACGAAGTGCAACGAAGTGGAGTTCAACACACCTGTAACCTATAAACCCACTGTAATCTTTAAACAGTTGAACGTAACGAAGTGCAACGAAGTGGAGTTCAACACACCAGTAACCTATGAACCTACTGTAATCTATAAACAGTTGAACGTAACGAAGTGCAACGAAGTGGAGTTCAACACACCTGTAACCTATAAACCCACTGTAATCTTTAAACAGTTGAACGTAACGAAGTGCAACGAAGTGAAATTCAACACACCTGTAACCTATGAACCTACTGTAATCTATAAACAGTTGAACGTAACGAAGTGCAACGAAGTGAAGTTCAACACACCTGTAACCTATAAACCTACTGTAATCTATAAACAGTTGAACGTAACGAAGTGCAACGAAGTGAAGTTCAACACACCAGTAACCTATGAACCTACTGTAATCTATAAACAGTTGAAC